AGATGAAGAAAAATGCCACGGGGCTATTCGGCTAACTACAACAGGCCTCATAACTGAAGTGAGTCTGGAGTGCATGCTCACTATATGGCCGTGGCCTGGCCAGACCTCAGTTTACTGGTTGTGCATCTGGCAGATGGGCCCAACGGTGACCGGGAAGACCCTGAGATTGTCCCCTGAAACAGCCCGTACTTTCTCCCTCTGCAGAGTCCATGAAGGGCCTTAGACAGGAGAGCCTGTAGGAAGGACCCCCAAGGCATTGCCAAGGGCGAGGCACCATTCTAGGCTCTGGGGACTTAGCAGTGAACAAAACAGACCTGAATCCCTGCCCTCCTAGAGATCCAGGCCACGGGCAAGCCCAAGGGTAGGCGCTTGTTTTCTGACATTTGGATGTGGATTTATTTGGAGTGCTGAACTGAAAACATTTAGAAATGCCCTTGGTTGGGGGAGGGGGCAACTCACCAGGTCCCCCCTGCTTGGAGAGGGGTGCTGCCCAGGCCTGTCTGGCTGGTGACCTCAGATTGGTCAGTGCTAACCGTGGCCAGATTGTGGTTCCCTGAGTCACCCTGCCTCACCTCGGAGTCTCTGCCTGCCCTGGGTTTGATTGTAGCTCAGTCATCTTAGCTGAGATAGTCCTCTGGTTTTGAAAGGGAATTTTCCCGAATGCCACCAGCTAAGTTCTCTGGCACTGCAGACCTTGTCTCCTTCCTGTGCTGGGCACCGTCCGCATGGGCCAGCGCTGGTCCCCACCCCCGCCCATTCCTGCCGTGCCCGCCTCTGCCCCTTGCTCTGGCTTCAGAGGTCTGCTTCCTGTCTTCTTGCCTTCCTGCCCAGAACCTTTTCTGCTGTTCTCTCCTCCCTCCTGCCCATTGCCATGCACCAGACATTGACCTCTTCCCTGCTCCTGCCCCGGTTCTCACCAGCTCCCCGGGTAGAGTCTCGCCAGCTCCCTACTCCCACGTTTTACTGTCCCTTTCAGAACCAGGACGCCGCTCCACCCTGGGAGGGGATACACCGGGTTCTTCCTGTGACGCCTGCCTCCTGTAGGTGATGGCCACAGGGTGGACCCCTGAGTTTCTTGCCCACTGTCCACATTTGTGGCTGGATAGTTCTTTGTGGTGAGGGACCGTCGTATGTGCGTTGTAGGTTGTTTGGCAGTAACCCCGGCCTCTGCTCACTCACACGGCAAGTTGTGATGGCCAGACATGTCCCCAGGCACTCCCAGGTGTCGGCAGGGGAGCAACATCACTCTGGGTTGAGAACCACCGGGCAGGGACGTGAGGGCATCGCATCTCAGGCTTGGCTAAGCCCGTGCTGGCAGGGGCCTGAGAAATTCTCTAGTCCACATCCCACATTTTGAAGGAAATTGAGCCTCAGAGAGCTAAGGAATTGTAAGGTCACATGGGAGCAGCATGATGAAGGCAGCGTCTTAGAACAAGGATTCAGGTAGCTCTCTGCAGGCTGGGCTGAAAACCAGGCCAGAGGCAGCAGGGGACCTGGCGTGAGGTAGGGGCTGCCCTTCACTCATCAGCCCAGGCTTGGCATGCACTGATCGGCCTCCTAGAGCCGGGGTACAGAAGGGGCCCCGCGCCAAGGCGGGGCCAGGGGGCCGGGGCTGGGTCCTGCCTGGCAGTGCCATGGTCTTGCTGTCCTAATCTGTAGCTCAGGGCTTGATCCTTCATGTTCTCTTCCCTCCTGGAGTGCACTGCAGGGGCCCTGTTCACTCAGCCAGCCCCCTGCACCCCAGGGCTGAAGCACAGGCTGTGTGTGGGGTCTGCCCCACCTGTAGGCTGGGGTCTAGCCTGGTGCTAGGACCTCAGACAGGAAGTGAGAAAGGAAGCAGGTGTGGGGACAGAGCCACAGTGCTGTTTTCTCTTACTGTGGTAGAGGGAGGCTCCTGGCTGGGGCTTTGGGAAGCTTGCACACCAACTCAAAGCATGTGGAGCAAGATCATAGATCCATTTTGAGAGGGATGACCAGGCCCTGGGAACTTCTGAACCGCTGAGGTTTTCCTGGATAGAGGCTCCTGGACTTCACGGCAGTTCTCCCCAGGAGGGAGATGGAGAAAGGAGGTAGAGAGGGGCCCCCGCCAGGCCCAGTGGGAACTGGCTTCCGGGGAAGGCTGCACTGTGACTGAGGAGGGTCCTGGGGGCCCCAATGTCCCCACAGCAGGGTAGCAACGGCATCCTGCAGCTCCAGGGGTCTCAAGTCCAGGTCTCTTTAACGACAGGCTCCTCTACCTGCCGTGAGTGACCTGGTAGCCACGGGGTTTCCTCTCAATCATTCCAGCCTCTGGCTTTTAGAGCCATAAATCTTCAGCATGAAGTTTATGAATTTCCATGGTATGATTAATGAAAGAAAAATTGAGACGGCAGTATAGGAACTGACCAGATTGAAAAAAGTCCGTCTGAGAAGTTGGATGAAAGTTTCAGAGCTTCTGACCCAGCCTGGAGCGCCACCTAGTGGTTACAGGGGTGGTGGCAACCATCCGGCCTGCAAAGCCCTGCGGATACCCCATGGGTGGATGCTCTAGGCTTGAGGGTGCCCTTTCCTCGGGAGCCTTGAGGTAGTTCCGGTGGGACTGCTGCGGGTGCAGGAGGCACGGGACCACTGCTCCACTTCCTCCCCCTCCTCCCCAGCTCCTTGAACCATCCCTGGTTTAGTAAAACCTGGGAATACGCACACTTCTTTGGTCCTGCCCGATCCGGATCACCTTTCTGGTTGCTCATTTATGAAAATCCTGCTCATCTTTTAAATCCCAGTAAGTCCTGTCAATCCTACCTTACAGATAAACCTCATTCAGAGCCACCTGGTGTGGGTCGCCCCCAGCTCTTTTCTGATCCCTGCTGTGGCCTCCTGATCGCGCTCTGGGGTTCCCTCTTTGCCCTCCAGGGGTCTTCTCTGAGCAGCGGCCACAAGATCTGTTGGAAATATAAATCATATCACTCTTCAGCCCTAGGGGCATCCCATGCCCGTTTTCTTTACTGACGCCTGCAAGATCTTGTCTCACCTGTCCACTGCCACTCTGCCTACTGGTCCCCTGTCACTGGTCACCTCCTCCCCTCTGTGCAGCTACGTGGGCAGCTTGCTCCCTCCTGGGCTGGCCAGGCTCATTCCTGCATCAGGACTTCTGCACTTGCCCTTCCATCTAGAACATGCTTCTACCACTTCCCCTCTTTATTTGGGTCCCTACTCAGATTCCACCTTTCTGGGAGGCCTTCCCTGACCACTGTGTCCCCTGAAACTTTCTAACTCCTTGCCATCCTCGTTTTTCTTCACAGCATGTGCCATCACCTGAGATTCTATTACCTGTTTGCTCATGTAGCATCCATGTGCCCTGTAAGAATAGCCTGTTCACGAGGTGGGGGGTGGGGGCGTTGTCTGTACTGCTCACTCCCTTAGCCCCAGCACACAGCATGGGCCCTGGCACTCAGGGTGCTCAGTTTGGATCTGTGGACTGAATGGGGGAAGAAAAGGCCACCCCCCTAGGGGCAGCCTGTGCCTCTCCCCCTTAGCCTCCACGCACACATGTGAGAACCACTCTCTGTCTACTCATAGTTGCCTTATCTTCGCTGGTCCATCAGTGTCTCCCCTCCGGAGCTAGAGCAGCTCGAGAGCAGAGATATGCTTGATTCCTGGGGTCACAGCACAGCCCCTGGCACATGGGAGCTGCTCAGCAAATGCCTTTCAGAGACCCGCACCTGGCAGTGGCCATGCACTTCACATGCTTTCTTCCATTTAAATTCCCCCAACAATCCAGAAGGCGGGCGGTGTCATTCTCATTGGGCGTAGAAGGAATTTGCAAGGTCACACTCCCAGGAAAAGCTGGAGCCGGGTGTCATATCCACGTCTGTGCCTCCCGAGTCCTTACGTGTACACTTCTACCCTGCATGGAATGTTCTCATCCCCCACCTGCCCCAAGTCCCCCCACCCTCTAGAGACTGCCTCCTCCAACTGAGTATTTCAGGCCATGGCAGTGATTGCCTCCTCTAAACTCCTGTATTATTTTATTTGTCACCAGTGTATACTGCATGGGGTCAATGCTGCTTTATTTTTCCCGTCTATGCAGCATGGAGGTCCCATGAAGGCAGGTCTCGAAGTGGCTGTGGCTCCTCTGGCACAGGACGCCGCAGGCTGTAGGTACTCAGTAAATATCAGTTGACTGATTGATTGGCTCCTCAGACTCCACATACTTCCCTGGAGCCGGAGGGAGCGGGGTGAGCGTCAGCTATATGGAGCATAAAATAAGGCAGCTGTGGAGACCTGCAGCAGAAGAAACCCAAGCATCCCTGGGTGAAGCGGTGGCGTCGCAGGCCCAGGGGGGCCGTGGAGGAGCTCTCGGTTTTCAGGCCCAGAGCGCAGGCTGCTGGCTCACATGGATGGACGGCAAAGGCAGTGATGGATTCCCACGGCCTGCATGGCGGCCAGCCCCTCGGCCAGCCCGATGCGTTCCTTTCTCCTTCCATCCGTGGGAAATTTGTTCTTCAGGCTCCTGAGAATAGTGGGCAAATGACCCTCTGGACAGGGCAGGATGTGGCCGCCGGAGGGTCTGGCTCTGAGAAACTGGCCTCGGACAGTCTTTCGGCCCAAGAGACAAGTCCTTACTCACCTTCCCTGAGCACTGCGCCCCTCCTCCCAGACCCCTTCCTGAAGGCCAGGGCCTCTCCGCTGACAAGTGGAGTAACCACAGCCGCTCATGTGTGTCTGGGACCTTCCGTGTTTGTTACAGGATTTTGCCTGTGTCGTTTAAAATTTGATCCTCAGAGTGACCTAGGAGGTTTGCAAAGCTATTTGCCAGATGGGGAGACTGAGACGTGGACAGGCCGAGGGTCTGTCAGGGTCTCACAGCCAATGTCATTAGGGCCCGTGGCCATATCTGACCTGTAGCCCCGTTCCCACCCGTTCCTGGTCTCAGAGTCAGAGGTGGGGGCCCGCAGCCTTTCGGGTTCCACGGAGATGAACACAGGAGCGGTGCTGATCTAACGGCTTTCCTTTCTTTCCAGCTCTGTGGCTGTGGGCTGCTTGGAGTGGGCATTTGGCTATCCGTGTCCCAAGGCAACTTTGCCACCTTCTCCCCCAGCTTCCCCTCGCTGTCGGCAGCCAACCTGGTCATCGCCATAGGCACCATGGTCATGGTGACAGGCTTCCTTGGCTGCTTGGGGGCCATCAAGGAAAACAAGTGCCTCCTCCTCAGTGTAAGTGAACGCCACGCCCCCAGCCCTCTGAAGTCCCATCTCCCTGCATCTGGGTCACTGAGACAGGCGAGGCCAGGACAACCACCAGCCTATTGGATGCCCAACAGAAACTGTTTCTAGAATGTTCTCTGCCCGACCACACCCCTCTTCCTCATGATCGGGTATCCTGGCCCCCGTTCTCCCTTCCACTCCTTGACTGTGTGTCTCCTTCATCTCCCTCCCTTAGCTATCAGGACCCCTCAGGAGCTGTAGCTGGCCTCTCCCATGCCTGGGAAGCCATGTCTAGGTGCTGCCTGCCCCCTGCCTCCCCAGCCCCGTGTGCACCCCATCCCTGGCCACGCCCACACCGACACTCTCTCCTTCCAGTTTTTCATCGTCCTGTTGATCATCCTCCTGGCAGAGCTGATCTTGCTCATCCTCTTCTTCGTCTACATGGACAAGGTAGGCCTTACAAGAAGGGCGGGGCATATGGCGTGGCAGCAGGGTGGGGTTAGAACAGAGAAGAACGGACAGACAGTAGCTCTGAGGAAGGGAGGAAGGAAGATGGAAGCAGCAGAGCTGAGAGAGACCCAGATGAAAGGTCTTGGTGGGGGGAGCACGGGGGAGGTGAGTTTGGGGGGCCTGGGGGGCTTATTACCTGTGTAGTCTTAGGAAATAGAATCCTCTGGCATTAGTGAGCTCCCCATCCCCAGGAGTATTCAAGCATAGCTGTGTTGAGCACTCGGAGAAGGGACTCAGGGGCCTGCCCTCCACCTGACAGGTAAATGAGAACGCCAAGAACGACCTGAGAGAAGGCCTCTTCCTGTACAACACGGAGAACAACGTGGGGCTTAAGAATGCCTGGAATATCATCCAGGCTGAGGTGAGGGGCTGGAGCTGCAGGGAGGGGGGGATGGGGGCTGGGGCCTGCAGGGAGGGGGGATGGGGGCTAGGGCCCTGTAGGGAGGAGGGGGTGGGGGCTGGGGCCTGCAGGGAGGGGGGATGGGGGCTAGGGCCCTGTAGGGAGGGGGGAATGGGGGATGGGGCCTCCAGGGAGGGGGAAGGGGGGCTAGGGCCCTGTAGGAAGGGGGGGGCTGGGCCTGCAGGGGGGATGGGGGCTGGGCCTGCAGGGAAGGGGGTGGGAGCTGGAGCCACAGGGAGGAGGGGGTGGGGGCTGTACCTGTGGGGGTGGCGCAGGGAGGAGTAGGGTGGGGCTGGGCCTCGGACTCGCCCGGGTGACCAGAAGAGCTGCTGGGCCATACTGGGGATGCACCTGGGGGGGCGGCGGCTGAGGGAAGCAGGGTGAGCAGGACCGGGACACGGGGGTGGGAGCCATGGGGAGCACCTAAATGGGTACAGGGACCGGGAGGACAGATAGACTAGAAGAGCAGATCATCCAGACCCTTCTTTTCTGAAGCTTTGGCACGGATGACAGAGTTTGTTGCCCTGATTATGGGTCAGGTAGGGAGACCCTGATTCTAAGAGGAGAACAAGTCAGTGCAGCCCAGAGGCCCCACGTTAAGCCCTGGGGAGGAGCCGGCAGCCAGCTTGGGAGGATCCACAAAGCAGAGGGGTGGTGGGCGAGCAGACGGCTGAGGGCTCCTGCTCCGTGTCCAGTGCCCAGCTCAGAGGAGCAGGTAGGCGTCACCTTCTCCAGGCTCCGGCCTCCAGGAAGGGGCCATCACTTCCCTTTCGGGCCCAGGTGAGGCCCAAAGAGGGGACAAGAAGGAGGCCTTTGTCTCCTCTGCTGAACGCAGGGAGGTGGCTTTCGTGCGGCCAGGCTGGCGTAGGCAGGGGGAGGCCCAGAGGAGGACGGCGGGCGGTGGCGTGTCTGAGCCCGTGCCCCCCACCCGCAGATGCGCTGCTGCGGCGTCACCAACTACACGGACTGGTACCAGGTGCTGGGGGAGAACACAGTGCCCGACCGCTGCTGCATGGAGAACTCCCAGGGCTGCGGGCGCAACGCCACCACCCCGCTGTGGAGAACGGTGAGGCCGCAAGCTGCTTCCCTGGGGCCCCTCCCAGAGCCCCCGTGTGGAGGACACCTGCGGGGGAGGCAGGGGAGGGTCAGGGGACGGGAAGGCATTGGCTTAATGGAAGGTGGGGGTGTGCAGGACAGAAGCCAAAAGGCAGGTGGCCAACGGGAGGGCTGGACCCGCAGCTGGGAGTGTCAGAGGGTGGGGGTCCGAGGCTGTGCAGCCGATCCCTGGGCCGGCTGGGGAGGGGCGAGGCTTGCTCAAAAGTCAGAGGAGCTGGGGGTCAGAGAGAGGCGGGAGGAAAGAAGGAAGACCGGGATGGAAGGGGACCTGGGGTGGGGGCTAGGCAGGAAGGGGCACTCACAGTCGTGCAGGGGCCTAACCTGTGGCCCTTGCTCCCTAGGGCTGCTATGAGAAGGTGAAGACGTGGTTTGATGACAATAAGCACGTGCTTGGCATGGTGGGGATGTGCATCCTTATCATGCAGGTGAGTGAGCTGTTTGGAGCCTCGAGGCTCCCCGGCTGGTCCTGAGCCAGAGGCAGAAATGAATCCTGCGGCGTGCGCGCATGCACGCACACGCGTGCGCACACTGGCCGACCCCGACGGCCTGCAGCCCCTGTGCTGTCCTACTCTGCTCTGTCCTGAGTCCCTCTGTCCCAACCCATGGGCGCAGCAGGGCGCTGCTTCCTGGGCATCCGTTCTGAGCCTGGGGCCGGCATCCCGCGAATCCCCGTGTGGGCGTGCTTGACAACACGCCTGTCCTACTTCACAGGGACACGTACCCTGGGACTGCGTGAAACCCGAGTCCTCAGGTAACACTTGTGAGCACAGGCTCACACTCCGTGGCTGTCCGTCCTGGACTCAGCACCTGTTAGATATATGTGAGCTGGGCAGGTTGCTTAGCGTCTGTGCCTTAATTTCCACATCAGTGTAATGGGTATGATCATCATGCCCCTTCTTAGTGTTAAGTAAGCCCTATACGTGTAACAGGGCAGAGAGCAGTACCAGGCAGCGAGGACAGGCTCAGTAGGTGTTAGCTGTTCCTAGTGAGCATTCAGTGGGCAGCCCCACTTTGCAAGCCCTAGCGTAGATGGTGGAGGGGGACCAGGAGCAAATCCCTGCCTCCCTTCCTAAAGATGAGGCTGGCATGGCCGCAGGGAGCAAGAGTCCCCTGACCTTTCTGGGGATGAGCATTCCCGGACTCCCTCCTTGGTCCATTTATGTATGGCTGCAGCCTTGGGCGAGCAGGAGTCTTCAGTGCCCGATTCCCCCTGGAGCGCTGGAACTTGACTGGCTGGCATCCTGCATCTTTCTTGCCCTAAACTGTTGGGTCTGAGGGGGTCTGACCGTGTGTCATTCATCCAAGAGCTTTCAAGCTCAGCAGACGAGCCCGCTGTCACTTGTGCAGAGCTCTGATGTGAGCTGTGCGCACAGGGGCAAGATGCTATTCAGTATGGAGAAGAGGGCACCTCTCGGCTGACTGTGCTCAGGCCTGGGCCAGAGCGCCACCAGCCAGGGTCTCCTCCACTTACACCCAGACCCTGAGTCCTGTAGAGCCACGCAGTGTCTCCCGGTCCCTTGCTTTGTGGCATGTGCCCACGGCACACTACCTGTGCTGACTGGGGCCTCAGGCAGGCTTCCCCCTGCATTGCTCTGGGCCACCACCCCCTGCAGGATTCAGGAGTTGCGGGAACACAGAGGAGCGTTACTGCTGTTGTAAGCACATCAGTGGTGAAGACCCGCCGGCTGCACCCAAAACATCACCAAACAGAGGGATGCGGCTTGGGTTTTTAAGGTTCCTGTCACCTTTGAGCTCCCACCTCAGTTCCCTTGTAGCTACCCGTTAGCGCCGGGTCCTTTGTGCTTTGGGTCCTCACAGCAGAGCCCTGCAATAGGGGGATCCCTGAGCCTCAGAGAGGTTTCTGTACAAACAGCTCTGAGGGGCTGAGCTCATCTTGAGCGACCTCCTCTGCCCACCATTGTCTCCCGTCACACAGATGGGTACCCCTGCTTGCCCCGGGGCTTCCATCCAAGGCCCTCTCCCACGTGTCTTTCAGATTCTGGGCATGGCCTTCTCCATGACCCTCTTCCAGCATATCAACCGGACTGGTAAAAAGTACGACGCCTGAGTGGGCTGGCCGGGAGCTCCCCGGCCCCCATGCCGACATTGCGCCAGGGAAGAAGATTTGAGCTTTGTGTTGCCTGCTCGCGCTCTCCAGACTGCTGACCCCTGCACCCGGCCCCCCAGCCCACCCTCCCCCAGCCCGCCCAGCCTCAGCCGCCTTGGTGGGTGGAAGGCCGGGGAGGAGGAGGCATGGAGGAGCACAGAGACCTTGGGTGCTGGGGGCGCCTGGGTTCCTGCATCTGTGTATTTGCCAAAGAAGACGGGGGAGCCGGGTTCATGCCCCAGGAGCCCCCCAGCACTGATGCGTTTCTGCCCCTGCCCTTCCTCACCCTGACACTTTGTCCCCACGTGGGTGGGGCGCAGGGTGCTCCCTCCTGGTCAAGAGACTGTCCGCGGAGCCACAGGTGTCCATGCCCCCCCCACCCCCCAGTGGGAGAGCTGGCGGGGGCCGGGGTCTGACTGCCTCTGGGCAAGGCCCCCCGGGAGCATCTTGCCCAGGCTTTTTATACCTTACAGTGTAACTTTTTTTTAATTTTATTTTACTCTGATTATGATTATTCAGGAATATTATCTTTCAGATAAGTTTAGGGTTAGCTTTCTGATTTATAACTTTTTACCGCGTTGATTTCTGTAATGGTTTGATTTTTTTTTTTTTTTTCCTGAGGGTGAGGGACAGGTAGAGAGAGAGAGAGGATGTCCGTCAGGTCTCAGTCAGGACAGACCACTGTGCGCCGCTCAGGAGCCTCCAGGAAGATGTGCCAGGCCCGTGCTCAGGATGCACCGAGCGGGAGGGAGAGCGGGCCAGGGTGTGGGGGGCCGGCATCTGTGGTACAGGAGCCTGGGCGAGGCGAGTGCAGCGGAAGGCACGGAGAACCGTGGGGAGGGGCACCCTGCCGGGAGCCAGCTGTTTGCTGATCCTGGCTCCAGCGGCCGGAGTGGTGGGGGGCCCGTGGGGGTTCAGTGAAGTGCTTTGCCAGGAATGCGGCCAGGGCTGGTGTGGGTCCTTATACTTCACCGCTGAGCAGTCTGTCTTTTTCCCGTCCGTCCTTCCTCCTGCCCTCTGCTGGCACTGGAGGGGGCTCCCCCTTCTGCCCCATGCGGGCGTGTTCCCGCAACAGGTTCTGCAAACCCGTTACTTTCACAGACATTCCTGCTAGAAACTCTCGGACAAATACCTCTTTAGTTCAGATGCTGCTCACTTTCTCACATTGCTTCTGGAAGGGGAAGCATTCCTTACGTTTTGATGCTCAGTTGGTGGTGGAGAGGCCCCGTGAGGGGGGGGGGGGGGGGGGGGGGAAGGTGGACCTGGTGCCCGTGATCATTCCAGCCGCTTTCACTGGGCTGCACATTCCCTGCTGAGAGGGAGGGGAAGATGACCAGGGGGTCCCGCATCCCCTTCCTCAGGGTTCACTGACGGTGGGGTGGTGGCAGGTGTGTCCTCCATGGCCCCGAGGAGAAGACGAGGTGCTCAGACTGGATCTTGCTAAGCAGCCCCAGGAAGAAGCAGCTGAGTCCCCATGTAGGAGGCGAACAGGCGGGGTGGGGTATCTGACCGCAGCAGGCGGCCCTCAGGGCTGACGCTGGTCTGAGTAAGTGTTTTTGCAGTTAAAAAAATAAAGTCAAGAATTTACGGGACTGAGCTTGCAAAGGCTTTCCACTGGCGGGCTCCGATCTGGTGCACCTCCCCGACCCGGCCTCATGTGGGGCAGCTGCCTTTTTCCTGCACCGTTTGGCTGGGTACCTTGATTTCCCACCAGGCCATGTCTCCCATCCGGCCTCCACTTTTCTCCAAAAGCTGAGACCGGGCCACCCAGCCAGCACCTCCTGCGCCCGCCTAAGTCAAACACAGACGGGACCAGGAGAATGGGACTTTCGGTGTTCAGGACTCACGATTTGGGGCAGTGAGGACCGGAGAGTAGGGTGGTCTCAGTGAGTCAGGCAGAGTAAGGCCACCCTCCTACGACAGAAGTGGAGGTGCCCATGGCAAAGCTGGGAAGGTGGGTCCTTGGGTAGACGAAGGGGCCAGTATATGCCTGAGCAGAACTGCCTTCCTGGGTCCTCTGGTGCCATCTTCCCAGCGGGGGCTTCAGCTGCCTCCCTGGGGACACCCAGCTGCAGAGCACAGAGCTGTCATGCTACCGCGTCACTGCAGAGAGGCACTCAGCTAACATGCGCTGGAGTCACACAGTGGGACTGAGTGTAAAATGACCTTGGGGCGGGGGGAATGGGGCAGCCTTGTTCATGCCTATCAATGCAATTTCAGTTTTCAAATCAGCAAAAGCCCAACACCTTGGCGGGGGGTGTAGCGTCCCTGGCAGTCTTGTGTCTGGAGCCGCCTCCCCCGCAGCCCCCCTCTCCCCACCGGTGCCCCCTCACCTGTCTGTTCATGGAGGCTTGTCCGCAGCCCCTCAGACCGCCTTCCTGCCTCACCCTGTGCTTGGCCGCTTAGGCATTCGCTCACGTCTCCCCCGGGGTGAGGCACAAGGAGTGAGGGTGCTCTTCCAGCCCCCCCCCCCGCCCTTCCTGCAGGGTGGATCCCACCCACGGAAGGTCATGCCACACGGTGTCTGTGGCAGCCCAGTGTCCTCGTTTCTCCCGGTTCTGATCACACCGGGGCAGCACTAACTGGATACGCTCCCTCCCGTGTGGCTTCCCTGGGCACAGAGTCCATTTGGTCAGGCCTGATGCAGCTTCCAGATGTGACTTAGAAGGTCGGATTCTGTAGACAGCTTCAAGGGAGCGCCGGCCAAGACCTGGCCTTTCCCTGCAGCCATCCTGCAGAGCTGGTGGGCCCGCAGGGACCGAGAACCACCTTTGGGGGGCTGCGGCAGGTGTCAAGGGACAAGTCTGCACCCCAGGCCCCCCGCTGGAGCACTGTCACCCCCTCCCCCCACCAGCATGGGCCAGCACCTTGGGCTCTCACTCCAGAAAGGTTGCTGTCCCACCCCAGACCCTCACACAGATGTTCTGGTTTGACTTGGATCCAGGTGGCCGGCGCTCCTTGCTTTGGTGGCCAAAAAGCAGTCCAAGGTGGATGGAAATGGCTGTCCCCTCCTTTGCAGCCCCCTGCCCACCCACACTGGTGGAGGTGCTAACTAGCAGGGACCTGGCGTAGGACGGGAGCTGGGGGCCAGGTGCCTGAGTCCCCCGTTTGACCCTCTGCCCTTCCGCGCCAGGCCCCTCGCAGTCTTGGTCTCTGCACTCGCTCCTCCACACCTCAGCGTGGTAGTAGTCCCGGTGGGTCCCAGCCTCCCTGCTCTGAACGGGCACCTGAGGGCCGGAGCCAGGGGCTCATGGGCACACCCCACCCACCCCCGGGAGCGTGAGAGAGCAGGACAGCACGCTTGTTGGTTTTAAATGCACTTTTCTGCTTGCGATGCCGTATCTGTGCGTTTCCTTCATCCTGGTCCTGGCTTTATCGAACACCATGTTTTTAGCATGTTTTTAAATAAAAACTGATAATGTGTCAAAAGCACAAACAGGTGGTCTCTTTGTGGTTTGTGTTCCCTCAACTATGACTTCTTGTGGCGGGTGGTGTGAGGGACGCAGGACGGATCAGGCACTGGGCCCTACTGTTTGTCGAGGACACCCCCACTGCAAAGACTTCATCTCTCCTCCTCAGGCCCAGGTCACAGGTCTGCCACGTGGAGCGGGGCGCAGTCCCCACTAGGGGTGCCCTTTGCCCAGTGACTGGATGCAGGCCTGGTCGTGGGCTAGTCCGAGAGGCCCAAGCTCACTGGTCACACATGGCCAGTCTTGTGGGAAGGCCCAGAAGTGTGTTGGGGGAGGGGCAGGGACTAAGGCATTCATGGCTTCCTGTAGGGGGCGGGGCTTAGGTACAGTCTTCCCCATCCCTCTGATGTTCTTGGGGTTCATTTGGGCCTGATATCTCTTCCAGGAGTGAGGGGACCTCACAGCATGACTTGGGCCAGGCTGTGCTCTCAGGAGAGGGCACAGGAACACCAACTCAGGATGAGAGGTCAGTGGGGAGGGAGGGGGCATCTGCGGCCCCCTGGCCATAGTGGTCTCCTGGTGTCCATGGCTGCCACAGTCATGGTGACAAGTTGCAGGTGAGGAGCTCAGAGGTCATCCTAGTCCAGGACCGTGTGTAAGTGGACATTGGCTGCAGATGTTCTGGGCTGGAATGGGGATGAAGAGTGGATGTGCCATGGGGCCCAGGAGCAAGAGGGGGCTTCTCCTTCCTCCTCAAGGAGTGGCCAGGTTGGCAGGGGGTTGCTGCAGGACCCCATCCTGTAGCTGCTGTGTCCCAAAGCCCCCAGAGGTTTGCTGAGGATCGACCCTCTATCAAAAGTCCGGAATGCAAATCTCGCCTAAGGAGATGGATCAGAAGAGACCTGGTGGCCATGGAGTCAGGGGTTGGTCGTGAACTAGGGGCGGTGACCCTCCAACATCCTCTGAAGACCAACCAAGTCAGGGGTGTGTGGGTGTAAGGCATTTCCTCTATGCCCACTGCAGTTCCGGCTCCTGCCCTCCAGCCTGCGGACACCCACGGGGGATGCTGGCCAGGTCCCTGTGCTGTCTGCTTCTGGGGGGCAGAGTGAAGTCCACCGGATCACAGGACAACGGGGTGCACTGACTGCTCAGTGCTGGGCTCCAGCCAGATGAGCTAAAGCCATGGAAGGCAGGCCACCCTGGCTGGGCAGGAGAGGAGGTGTTCTTATCAAGACAGGGCTGTCATGGTTTCTCCCGGCATCTAATGACTAGGCGAGAGCCTTCCGGGATGGGCGCTGGGCTCCTCAGACCATGAGAGGGGGTGAATGAGATGACCCTGGGGGCCCTCCCCCCGCCCTGTGTGCTGCAGTGGGAGAGCTGCCTCTCCATCTGCACTCGGCAAAGGGTGCAGGAGGAAGATGGCTTGCTGGTAGCAGCACTGTGGGCTTGGTACCCATACGGGAGCTCTTTCAAAATGGCCATGACCAGGGCTTCCAGAGACAAGATGTTTATCCACCCAAACACTTAGTGGATACTAACTTGTACAAGCACCTAGAGTATACGGTGAAGGACCCAGACCAGCCCCTGTGCTTATAGAGCCACCAGTCTGATGGAGACCACAGAAGAGCAAACAGGATTGCAACTCAGTGCTGTGATCATGATATTCACACGGGGAGAGGGGGAGATGCGCTGACCCCAACCTGGGGAGCCAATGTCACTGCTGAGAGTTAAAGACAGGAGTTAATCTGGCAGGGATTGGGAGGTGAGCCCTGGTGATGTCACCGGAGCCGACGTACAGAGCAAGTGCTAAGGGAGGTGTCTGGAGAAAGCAGCAGCCACTAGATCACAAAGTACTAAGCCGGGTTAGAGCTTGAACTTGAAGCCAAGAGCGGTGGGAGCCCGCTGACAGGCTTGAAGCCATGTGTGGCTGGCTCAGATCTGCCTTTGGGAAGGATCGCGTGGAGAGTGGTAAGATGGGACAGGGTGGGATGCAGGGACATCAAGGAGGGGCTGCGTCAGTGACTTAAGTGAGAGATGACTGAGCCCACAGAGGAGTGTCAGCGGGAGGGAGAAAAACATCAGATCTGAGAGACACACAGGAAAATTGAAAGACTTGGTGATTAACTAGATTTGCTCAGGGGGAAATGGGGAGAGGAGCATTCTTGCCACTCATTCAACATGACATCCCTTGCCCTGGACAGGTAGATGACTAATTGCACCAAATGGAGTGTGAGTGTGTTTTCCAGGTTCAGTGCTTGTGGGCAGGCAGACAACCAGTGTGATATAATTAAATCTCTCTTTTTGTTTGCATTGAGCTTCACAGCTTGCAAAATGCTTTCATATACATTATCTGGCTTCCTCCTGACCTCAACTATTTTATCGGCTGTCATGACGCTTGAACTTCCAGCATTATAGATGTGCCATGTCTGGGTGAAGAGCACTGGTTTGGGAGCTTGAGGGTCTGAATTAAATACTCATTCTGCGTGTGATTTGCCTGTGAGCCCTGGGTAGTCACTGAACATGTCCTGTCTTCAGTGTCTGCAAGATGAGGAGAATACTGATTTTACAGAAGTGCTTCAAGGATGAAATAAAACCTCACATGTGAAGACCTCCAGCTTGTTCCTAGACCAGGGTAAGTGCTTAGCAAGAAACTGGTCAAATCTGGGTTCTCAGGAGTCCCCCAGCTAGAGGTGGAACCCCAAGGAAGTGCATCCGCCTTGCTGAAAGCTGGAGGCACAGGAGAGTAATCTGGAAAGGGGAGTCGGGTCTACAGCCATACCACCCTGAACGTGCCTGATCTCAGAAGCTTAGCAGGGTCAGGCCTGGTTAGCACAAGGATGGAAAAGGGAGTCGGTATATGGGGGGTGGTAGTGAGCCGTGGGATAGAGATGTGCGGGCTCGGTGGGCAGGCTTCCCCCATGCCTCTGTTTCATGCCGGTAGCAGCATTCAGTGCTCCACAGAAACAAGAGGGAAGTCAGGTTAAATGAATGTCGTTTTGGACACAAAAATATTGGCATTGCAATGGTCCCTTCTAAAGCATTCAGCAAAGATGAGGAAGCTATTGATTTAGCCATCTCGTTTTTGCTGAGTTTAATGACAGCTGCGGAGATGGACTATTGTGTCTCCTTAAGCTAACAAAAAGCATAACAACTCTCCACAGGGCATGCTTGAGCCAGGCTCTCTGAAGCTGCCTGCTGGAATCTCCCCTTTGTGGCCCTACAGACTGCCAGGTGGCTGAGAGGCAGCTGGGGCAAACCCCTGGCGTCCCCTTATTCAGAGGAGCATGGGGAGCCGGCAGAGAAGGGCCATACTGCGGTCTGTGGCTGGGTTGAGCCTCTTGGTCAGAGATATTCCTTCTGGTGGCTACAGAGTTGTGAGATCTAGCCTAGCCAGCACTCGGAACAGGGCTGATTCAACATACAGACAAGGCGAGCCCATGTTCTGTCATTTAATGGCATCAGGAAGCTCCTTGCCCTTTGTCCCGGCCTGCCCCCACTGAATTCCTGGGATCCCGACATATCCTCAGTACATTTCTTCTCCCTGGAAAGGGACACCAGTTCCTGAAAGGACCCAGCCTTGTTTATAGTTGGCAACTCAGGGAGACATGTTGAGTTCGATCTCCTCTCCAGTTTGCGGTTCTTTAACCCCCAATTAGGGATTCATGAGCCACTTTCCATATTTTAGAAGGCCAGTAGAAATTGCCCCTGACCTCTTCAAGAGTGTCCAGGCTGTCGGAAACATATAGCCCTGTTCGCTCTGGCCAGCCTGCACATGTCCTCAGTGCATTGATGCTGTTTGCACCTTGCTGATGGGTAGGCCAGACTCAAGCTTTGCTCACTGCCCTCTTCACCCCTGGACTGATCCAAAGGATCCCCTGGGTCCCTTGCCGCTGCCTCTCCTTTGTGCCCAGTCCTCGCTTGACAGGGTTTCATCCCGGGACAGAAGCCAGAGGAATAGGGGAGTAGGGGCTTCTCATGTACTTGTTTTTAAGAAGGTAAGTGGGATGATCTAGGCTTTTGGAGCCTGTGTTTCCTCCACCCCTCCCCCCCCCCCAACAGCCTCTCTATTCTCAGCTGGGGAGATGGAGTAGAAGCAGGGTCCCAGCTCTGAGCAGCCCACCTGCCGGCAATGTGACAGCCAGGCACTGGGGCTAACATGAGGCATTGGCACCTGCTGGGGAGCAGTGGCAGCCGACCGGCCAGCTGGCAGCCACCGAGGATAGCTTCACGCAGCAGCTTGATGCTGCCCACCTCCCTGAGGCCCCTACTGGCCACCAGAGCCATTTTATTTTATTTTTGTTTTTAATGTTTATTTATTTTGGGAGAGCGAGCGAGCAGGGGAGGGGCAGAGAGAGAGAGGGAGAGAGAGAAAATCCCAAGCAGGGTCTGTGCTGTCAACGTAGAGCCCAATGATGGGCTTGAACCCACAAACCATGAGATCATGACCTGAGCCAAAACCAAGAGTTGGATGTTTAACTGACTGAACCAACCAGGTGCCCGCCCCCAGAGACATTTTGGACAGCAATGACACTCAGCCATGGCACTCCTGTGTACTGCAGGGAGGGGGCCCACAGGGGGCACTCAGCCCTCCCAGGCGCGTTTGTGTGCTTGTGTATATGTGTACACACACTGGCACTCACAGGATGGTGGAGGTGAGATGTCTGGCCCAACAAGATAGGAGACCTTGGATGGGCCCAAATGGTGCATTTCCCAACATCTAAGCCATCAGAGGGCTGTTGCTATGATCTTTTGGTGAATGATCTTGACCAAAGGGGCAGGGGAGACACACAGGCTCTCCAGGGCTGCAGACTCCCTCTCTTGGATAGCAAGTGAGTAGGCCCCTTCCAGGCTCTCCCCGGGTGAGAGGCTCACTTCCAGTGTGCCTCCCCACCTCACCCCACCGCTGCCATCTTGGCATCCCCGGAGTCCAGCTTTTCCAGGTACTGTTGAGGCTCATCCACTGGCCCGCCTCACCTCAAGTTCTCTAGACAGACTAGTGAATGAAATTGAATGAGTAAAATGCATCCTTTTAGCTCCTCACTGGGCAACCTGATGGCCTCAGCTCCTTCAATCAGAAGATTGAAGTCTTTCTGCATTTGTATGAAAAAAGTATCCCACTCTGGATTTGCATATGGATAAATGAGCCGGATGGTCTAGGGGTCTGGGTAGCCATAAGGGTGTGTGTCCTAGCTTCCAATACTTAGCTGGGAGCCTGAGGGCCAGCCAGGGGGGGAAGGGGGGTGGCGGGCCTCGCCCGGGACGTCTCACCACCCTTGGCATCTGCTGCGGCCAGCATGAGGTGATGCCCACAGCAGGATGTGCAGGCTGCAGGCTCACTGACGGAGGCTGCCGTGCTTCGTGGGAAGTGGTGCGGGGATACTGGATGACCAAGGGAGGAATTGAAGGGGAATGCAATTCAAGCTTTCCTGTTGGAACTTGGCTCTCGCTTGCAGCCAGGAGCCAGTGGCACACATGTGCAGGCAAGGTCAGTTCAAACAGAGGGAAGGTGGGAGCCGATAAAAGAAGGGTAAGTGGAACCCCAATCACTGTGGTCCATGGGTTTCCTAACACAGCTCCTCCTTCCCCTTCTCCCCATGACTAATGTCTGCTTTCCCATGTACGGTGGGTTGAAACACATCTGGTGAACTACCTGGGATTTTCCTGCAGAGGAGGAAAAAAACCAACAGAAGGTAGTCCTAGATACAATTCCTTTATTATCACGCCACCCAGCGTGTGAGGCCAGGCTGACGCTGAGGCCAGCTAAGGAGAGGGCACGTTTACAACCAGAGCAACTTCTCTATATGCGGGAGGTTAAGGCACCTTCTCTGTTTCTAGAATACTGTGACAACCCATATCCATGGGTGGGCTGGTTCCAGAAGCCCACTTGGCCTCGCTAATACTGGGTTGCCTGGAATTCCTAGGGGCACTTGCGCAGGGTGGCTCACGGGCATAAGCAGGAGAGGAAGGGGGCGCAGAGGCTGGGGAACGGAGTACACACAGGGCAGGGCACATGCTAAACTAGAAAGTGGGGTGCAGAGAATGGAGCCGGACTCTCCCAAGGCACACAGAAGGCGGTGGGAAAATGGAGCTGGGAACCTGATCCGTTCCCTTCCAGGAAGAGGACCCGGGCACCTGGCCTCCTGGCCCCACCCAGAGGGCACGTTCCTGGCCAGCTGGCCAGCCCGAGGGGCTTCGGAACTCTGGGGGGTTGTGCACACACAGGAAGGTGGCAGAGTGTTCTCTGTGGCCGGGGCTATAGCAATAGTTCTCAACGGGTGGTTCCAGACTGGCAGCACCAGCAGCACCTGGGAGCTTTTCACGCCGCGAGTCCTGTCCTCACCCCTGCAGATACGGAGCTCAGGGGGCAAGACTTGGCCCTCCAGGTGACCGCATGCATCCTCACATTTGAGAACTTCTGGTCCAGACACATCACCAGCATCCTCAGTGATGTGACACCACACAGCAGTGACAGAAACCGCCTTCCCTCCTCCTCCCCTTCTCTCCTCAGGCCCAAAGTGGCCAGAAAGTAGCAACCATTGCCAAGGCAGAAAGGGGGGTGGGTGGTGATGACAGTGTTTCAATTCACTTCCTCCACCTCCAAACCCCGGGCACGGACCAGAGGGACAGATCCCAAGGCCCAAACTGGCTGCAGGGCACGAGTCCTGGGGGCTTATCACCCTCACCCCTCCTCAGTGCTGCGCTGGCCCTTCCAGGTCTAAGTGCGCAGGGTGAGCGGCCTGATGAGATTCTAGGTGCCCCCTCCGGAAGACAGGGACCACTCTGTGCCGGCCGGACGCGCACATCAGCAACACAGGGGAGGGAAAGGTACCAGGAGGGTGCCCCTTCCCTGCCCAGGGTGGCTCTGAGTGCATGAACCCTGAGGCTTCTCCCCGGGCCCCCAGCACGGGGCAGGGAGAGGTGTGTCCCATGCCCTCAGCAGCTCTCCACGCCCCCACGTGTGATCTCTGCATGGGCCCCAGGCTCCACACCCTGTTTGCAGAATCTGACTGCTCAGGTCTGGTATGCCCTCACCTGGTGCCAGCATTGGCACCCGAGGTGACAGGCTGGCCGGTCCCCTGAGCGATGGTCCCCAGGGCTCCTGTCTGCCGCCTGAAGCCACTCCACTGGGAGGGCCTGGCCGTCAGTCTGAAAACAGCCACACTTCTCTGCTGATTGCAAATGTGCTGGGCATGCCGGGCTGGGGGCCAGAGGGACGGTTCCATCCAGTCCGGGAGGGGGCTCCAGGCTACGGCCCATAGTCCCCCCTGAGGGATGTGATGTTCCTGCACAGGAGCCTGATGGCTTGCTGCAGAGATGGGGAGCCCGTGATGCTGAGGGCAGGGGGCTCCCAGCCCGGCCCCCCTCTTTTCCACCCGGCTAGGGGTGGCATGTCGACCGCCACTGCTACTGACTGGCCAATCTCTTACTTCTCAGAGCCTTAATTTTGTCATCTGCAGAGTGGGGGGACTAGTGCCTTCCTGTTGGGGTCACTGGGAAAGAAAGCACTTACATGACTAACTCACTAAGCACATAGTAGGTCTTCAGTAACAACTAGGCCCTGTTCGCTGTGGGAGGGAAGGCCGAGGTTGTGGGGACTCGGGCTGTGCCTATCCCAGCATCCGCCATGTCCCGACCTCTACAAAATGCTGGCTTCTTTTCTGGGCCCCAGTGTGCAGGGGCCTTTGCTCACAAAGGACTGATGACAGCTTTCAAGTCACAGCCTTCTCTCGCTCTCGCTCTCTCTCTCCAAGCAGGGCCCCAGAAGGAGCTGTCCTGGGCACAGAGCTGCGTCCTCAGGTGGGGTGGGCACACCTCACTGGGCATGGCATCCTTGACTCTGGACTCCTGCCCTTTGTGTGCCCTGAGCGGGAGCCTCCATATCCTGGGCCTCGGTTCCCTCTAACCCCCCCGCCCCCCCCAGGCTGTGAGCATGAACAAGCAGGTCACCGTTCCCCCAAAGCTCTGGGTCCTTCTCTCTCTGCAGCTTTGCCCATCCATCTTCCAGCTGCCATCCGGGCGGGCCGGTGTCCAGGGCGGCATCACCTGCCCTCAGCCGGGATGGCCTAACCCACCTCGGGGCGGGGGTAGGGGTGGACAAGGTGTGCAAGCAAGCGATCCCGCCCATCCCCCTGTCCCCATCTCCACAAGCCCAGCTGACCTCAGGGAAGTGCAGGGACTCCGCCAGGGGCTGACATGTCCCACAGAACACAGCACCTCCCCGGGCATCACCACCTGCCCAGGAGAACTTGGCAGCCCGACACCCGGCCCAGCACACAGCTTGGGAGTCTGTCATTCTCGAGTCCCAGGAAGCTGGAAGGCAGCAAAGCTAGTCACAGCGCTTTCTTCCAGCCTCGGTGCACCTGGGCTTGCTGGAAAGCTGGCCTCCTGTTACTGAACTGGTATCAGGATCCCCAGGACCCCGAGGGTGGAGGAGAGAAGCCCCGGGATGATCCCCAGGGTACAGGAGGCAATCTGCCCCGGGAAGCTGGTCTTCCCTCTGCGCATGTGGGGGACTCCCTGCTCTGAGTGTGCACGGCTTCCGTACAGCTGAGGGCTGTTTGGGGACAGCAGTGAGCTGTGTATGGGAGGGAGGACACGCTTCACGCAGGACACCCCAGGTCACCCAGAGCTGTGCTCATCAGACTGGGGCCTAGAATGAGTTGGGAAGCAAGGTGTGACCTTTCTTGGCCTTGATCTTAGCAACAAGAGGCCACTCCCTCGTGGCAGGAGGTACGAGGGTCCCCAGCCCGGGAAGCCCAGCACCGGGAAGGTGGGAAGCCAGGTGTGGGGTTCTCTCGCTACGAGTTACCCACTTGTAACAGCTATTTGGGGGGGGGGTTCTCCACGGCTGTCTTACAAGTTGACACCCGTTCTTTGGAAAACTGCCAGCATCTATATTCTGCATTTTCTAGGATTCTCTTTTTTGTTCTGTTCTCCTTTAGTTTGAGAAAGTTCTTCCTGAAAATTCCCTGCCTGATTCAGGGATGCCAAGAGAGAACCAAAAGAAGCCACTATATTCACTCTGGGAAGCAGAGTGAGGGCTCCTGGGGGCAGCATGGTGGTGGCCATATGTGGCCAGGGATTGTGGGCCCAGGAGAAACGGGGTTCTGGGCACAGCACCCCCTACTCAGAGCTGTATCTTCACAGTGGCTCTAACTCCGCGGGGTCTGTGATTTGGCCTAATCAGGAAGGATTTTTACTCCCACCAACATGAAGAGCTGGAGATCATTTAAAAAACCTGGCATTCCTGAGAATCAGGCCCTAGAGGGGAGACCCCTGAGGGTCATGTACTGCAGCCTGGGGCTCAAGGCCGTGGTCTCCTGGGGGACCGCTCCCAGGGAAGGTTTCTAGGCTGGGTACAGGGTGCTGGTGCAGCACATGCTGGTGCGGTCACCTTACCTGGCTTCCTCCCTGCCCTGGTGCCCCACCAGCCTGCTGCTGCCCCACGGCAGCTCCCAGGCCTCACCTCAACCCTCACCGCTGCCGGGCCCCACGGGAAGGAACTGGGCCAGCGGGCACTCCCAGCTGAGGAGGTGTGGGGACGGGCAGAGCAAAGAGCTGCATCTTCTAGGGGCAGAGCCAACCCTGACTGCCCCCCCCCCCCCCCCCCGAGCACTTCCCCGTGGGTAGAGAAAAACACAGCAAGCAGAGCACCAGTGGGGAGATCACGTGCCCAGTGAGGGCATCCCAGGGGGCTGGAACTTTCAGACCTTCATTCTGGGTTCTGGAGCGGGGAGGGAGCCGAGGGCTTGATTATCACCCTCCTCTCTCCTGTCATCCACGGGATCCCCAGCCCTGCTGAGGGGCGCTGGCTGTCATTTCCAGGCAGGATGGGTCCCCCTGCCTGGGTCAGAATCACAGGATCAGAAGGGGCTGGGCACAGAGTAGGGGGAGTTTCTGGGAGTTTCTAGGCGAGGTGGCACTGACTCTGCAGGCCTGGAAGATGGGATTCTGGCACCTGTCCTCGCGAGGGGCAGTCGGAGGGGGACGCCGTCGGCCATCAGTAAAAATGCAGCTGGAGCCTCCGGTGCAAGCAACAGGTGAGAACCATCCCGCAGATCTGCCAGGTGGAGAGAGCAGAGGTGCAAAGAGAAGTCAGAACCCCACCAAGCTGCTCTCCCTGCAGTGCCCGGAGGAGGCTTCTCACTCTTGGGTGCCCAAACGGGGACCAGGATAAAGGGCAGAGTCCAACTCAGGAGGCCTGGGGCGGGACCTAAGATTCTGCATTTCTAACCAGCAGTGCACTGCTGGTCTGTGGTCCTAGATCTCCAGAGATGGCCCAATTCCATCAGATCCTGAGCCAAAGCGGTTCCACTCCCCCGCTGCTGTCTGTCTGCATCTCGCTGCTCTCAGACTCCAGAGTAAAACCAAGGGTCCCAGTCGACTCACTGGCTGATGTACGGGAGCCACTGGGGAAACTGAGGCTCTGAAGGGAGCACCCAGAACTGTCCCCAACTCATCCTGTAAGTCAGCCCAGAATGCGGCACCAGACCCAGGCCCTAGGAGCCTGCTGAGAGCCTCTGTGTCACATCCACTAGCTGAACAAGAAGGGCACCCTGCCCAGAGCAGGGCAGTCCTGGGGAGTCGCTGTCCCCCTGGCGGGCCTCACTTTTCCAGTCTCTAAACTGCAGGACAAGATGTGGATGTGTCAGACCCAGGAGGTCCAGGACCGTGGTCTTGCCATGGTAATGATGCCGCTGCATCCTGACACCCCACCCACAGAGAGGGCGCTGCTAGGGCAGCCCCATAAATGTCCTGTGGCACCTGGGCAAAGGGGGATGTCCCCAAAGGCAGGGAACAATGCCCCATCGTTCCCAAACCTCGTCAATAGCTGCCACTGACCTGACCTTGCCAGAGCCCATCTGGATGCACCCGGAGCTCCGGCCAGTGGGAGGAGGTCAGGCTGATGAAGACACCCATGGGCTAGCAGACATTTGGCTTCTCTGCAAGGCTAGCTGGCTTGAGGTGACAGAGAACGAGCCCTTCTTCTTCCCCCTTCCTCTCTCCTCTCCACCCCTACGTGGGACGATGGCGGGGCCCTGTGAGCGCAGCTTTCAGACTTGGTACCGATAGCAGTGCCAATCTACTTCCTGACTCAGTGCCACAAGCTGAAGGTGGCCTGAGAGGTTGTCTGGTCTCCCACTGGCTCTAAGCAGGTACCATCACAGCCTTTCCAGCCAGGTGTCCTGCAGCATGCCCTCTTCCCCGTCCCCATGTCGTGTTTTGATGGCTAACGTGTGGGGTTATCAGGACCTTTCTGATTCTTGCTGGACAGGGAGGCCAGATGGGAAGAGTTGGGCCAGCATGGACTTGGGCCATACCTACAGTGGATGGTTCGTGCTAGGTGGCCAGAAAAGGGGAGCTTACCCACAACTACACTTTTGTATAAGATGTGTGTTCCCACCAGGGTGCCTCCCAGGGAAGGCGCGGTGCGTGTACCAAGGCATGTCCGCACACACACCTCCACCTTGATGCATGCAGAGGGACCAAGGATGCACTCATCAACATGTCTGCACAGGTATGCAAACACGTGCACACACACAAGCACCTTGATTCATGCAGAGGGGCAGTGGCTGCTATCAGATCCCTGAGTGAGCACCAGCATCTCCTTCCTGATGGAGGACATGGGGGACTCAGCACACACGGCTCTGTGGGGCCGGCACAGGATGAGCAGAGCAAACATGGGGTAAGGAGTGTTGGAGCAGGAGATGGCCTAGGATGCGTGGGGCCAAGGGGACGGCTGCAGGGCCCAGCCCGCGTGGTGCACGGTGCCCTCTTCTGGCAGCCTGCCTAGCTACAGCATCTGCCACATAGGGGGGCTGTTTATAACGGAGGTGGCATGCTTTCAGCTGCTTTTGAGGTTTTGGGGCCAGCACCTGATTGTCATCAAGAGCATCAAGGAAGGACCAGGGAGGCCCCAGGAAGCAAGTCCAATGTGACCTTTCAGTTTCCCTTTTAATGACCTGCAGATCCCAAGCTCGGCTGTCTTATGAGTTTTCTGGGCTCTGCAACATTTCCATCCTACAGGAAAGGATGTTGGGATAGGAGTAGGAGTGGGGTAGCTTATATTTGGAGCTGTGTGATTCTGGGCACAGATATAGCCCTCTCTGAGCCTCAAATCCCTCTCTAGCAATAGGAAAACCTCTAGTCTGTTCACTGCTTGGTAGCCTTCCCTGGAGAGTCTTTAAAAACCAGGGTACCCGCGTCGGGCTCTGTGCTGACTGCCAGCTCGGAGCCTGGAGCCTGTTTCAGTCTGTGACTCCCTCTCTCTCTGACCCTCCCCTGCTCACGCTGTCTCTCTCTCTCTCTCTCCTAGAAATAAATAAAACATTTAAAAAAATAAATAAAAATAAAATAAAAACCAGGGTGACAGGGGCGCCTGAGTGGCTCTGTCGGTTAAGTGTCTGACTTCGGCTCAGGTCATGATCTCATGCTTCATGGGTTCGAACCCTACGTCGGGCTCTGTGATGACAGCTAGCTCAGAGCCTGGAGCTTGTTTCAGATTCTGTGTCTCCCTCTCTATCTGACCCTCCCCTGCTCACACTCTCTCACTCGCTCTCTCTCTCAGAAATCAATTTAAAAAAAAAAACCAGGATGACCGGACCAACATCATGGTTCCCAGCTCCTCCTGCACCCAGAGCCTTTGAAAGGCCAGGTCATAGCTCCCCAGAGTCCTCAGGATAAAGCCATCCCTCCGCTGCAGCAGGCCAGGGCTCTGCAGATTCAGTTTCTCACCCTGTCACTTTTTCCCCCTCTTGCTTCTTCCTGTCAAACTCCTTCAAGATTTAATTATACATCACTTCCTCCAGGAAGCCTTCCATGACTACTCATGATAGGTTAGGGCCTCCTATAGGCTTCCCCAAGCCCCAGGTCTCACACCCGCACAGTGCCTCTGATGCATGTGACAACCCATGTTCTATGTGCCCTCTGCCTCGAGTGAAAGCTTCTTGGGAGAAGGGACCACATTCTGCCCTGTGGTGTGGCCCCAGCACTGGCCATGACACCTGGCAAATAGCAGCTCTCGTTACAAAGCTAACAACAAATGCTCACCCTTCAGCCTCCTCTGCCTGGCTCTTGGGTAGGCGACTCCCAGAGTCTATGTGTGAGCAGAGCAGCAGGTAAAGGGGGCAGAGCCGCTACGTCCTTTCTAGGAAGAAGTTTCTCTGCCAGAGTTACGTAAGGTGGAGTGCCTCCAGAGTCCACCCAAAGGGGAAGCTGGTGTGCAGCAAAGAGACCTGCAGTTGCGTGGGACTGTTAACAAGTGGCCACGTCGCTGGGCCTGGTGTCTTCAGGTGTATGTGAACAGGGTGGGCCCAGCGTTCTCCACTCCGGGTGCACGTGTGAATCACCCGGACGGCTTGAGAAAACACCCCTGCACAGTCTCATCCCATCTATCTGAGCCTGAATCTGTGGTGCGGGGGCTGAGCAAGGGTCCTTTTCAAATCTGATTGGCCTGTGCAGCCGGGGCTGACAGCACTGGCCTAGGTAACCGATAAGTCCCTTCCAGAATGAAGAGTTGTGTGATGTGGAGGTGACTCGAGACCCCAGTTATCCCTGTCGGTCTCAAAACCCAGAGCAGTGAAGGCCACATGCCCACGTGGACAGAAGGGGCCTGCAGGGTCTTGCTGAAAGGAACAGGGGCATACGGCGGCAGGGAAGGGACCGGAAGCCCATCACGTGCGGGATTCCCCACTTCAGGGTCCCGGCCAGCCCACAACCTCTGCCGTGACCTGCAGCCACAGGAACCGCTGCTGGGAGATGCCCATCATTAGCAAGCTCTCCAGCCTGTGTCCTTGTAAACTCTTTTTTTTTTTTTTAAACATTTTAAAAATTTATTTCTGAGAGGGAGAGACAGGGTGAGCAGGGGAGGGGCAGAGAGAGAGAGGGAGACGCAGAATCCGAAACAGGCTCCAGGCTCTGAGCTGGCTGTCAGCACAGAGCCCAACGCAGGGCTCAAACCCACGAACCGTGAGACCATGACCTGAGCTGAAGTCGGCCGCCCAACTGACTGAACCACCCAGGCGCCCCTGTCCTTGTAAATTCTACCTGTCATTCCTGTCTGTCCTCTGGTACCTCCCAGGAATGTGCCCTCCCTCCATGCCTGCCTTTGGGAGGTTAAGTACCGTGATGGCGCTGCCTTCTCCCTGGCCCTTAACCTCTCCCACACCTGACTTCCAGGTGCCCCGTGGCTCTTGTCACTCACGTGGGCCAGGGCTCTCAGGGAGCCTCACAAGGATGCTGATGCCAGCCCCAGACAATGTGATTTAATTGTGCTGGGGTGCACCCCGGGCCTCTGGCAGTTTTAAAGCTCCCCAAGTGGCCCCCGTGTGCAGCCAAGGTTGAGGCCTGCCGCCGTGGAGGCTCTGCGGAGATCCTGTCCGCCCCACCCCAAGCCCGCCATGATCTACGCATATCAGCCCTGGTCCACACATCCACATGGCAACAGGGGGCATGGGCACCGATGGCTGGAATCGGGGTTTGCTATATTCGTCACGTTTTCTGCTTGGTGTTCACCGTACGCACAAGACATGCCTTAACGTTCGGCACAGCAGTCCCACTGGGGCAGGGTTCTTACCAAAACTCATGGAACCTTCGAGCCCCAACTCCTGCTTCAGCCACAGCAGCTCCACCTCATGTTAGTTTAATACCGCGGGCTCCTATGTGAGATTCTCGGGGGTTACAGAATTCTGCCATGTAAAGGCGGGCTCAACAGTGTCCAACTCCCCTGTTCTAGGGGAAAGGAAACCCAGGCTCAGGGAGGAAACATGACTTCCTCAGGATCACATAAGAAGAGGAGAGGTCCTCTGATTTCATAGCAAGGTCTCCTCTAGTCCTGGGGACCACCACCTTGGCCTTTTATCTCCTGAGCCTTGGGAGTCTCTGAAGTGCCAGGCTGGGCATGTGTGGGGAAGGCACCTGGTGCCTGCTCTGGTGGAAGGTGACTGTGAGCTTAGGGACAGGTCTGATGTGAAGCCCTTCAAGGCTGGTGGCCAACCCCTCCTTGGGAGGTTTAGTGCCAGCATTGGCCAGCAGAGGGGGCTGTAACCAAGGCTTGGCTGCTGCAGGACCCGCTTCGGCAGGAGGGAGGGGAGAAAATCTGGGCTAAGGTTGGGGGTCCACAGTGGTGGCCAGGTGATGCTCTCTCTGAGGGACACCTGGCACAATTCCACAGAGAGCTGTGGAGGACCGAGACTTCACGGTCGGGGACTTGTACGAGGCTGAAGCCTCTGCAGCTTGCAGGCACCCAGCCCGACAACATGGCCTCCCGGCAGTACTCCACAGGGTACTTGTTTCACCTTGACCTTGGACATGGGGCACTGGCAGACCCACTCCCTGCCCTGGGCCTCACTGCCCCTGTCTTCAGCTTCTACAGGCTCCCAAGGCCAGAGAGGCCAGGAAGAAATGGACGAGGAATGTGGGCATTGGCCTGGGCCGTGTCCATGCACAGCAGGCCCCCTCAGCCCCTGAAGGAGACAGCAGGTTTCTGGAAACTTCAGTTGATGCAGGAGCTGGAGCCCAGAGCAGCCCCTTCCTCAGCAACCACTGGGGTACGGCGGGGGGCAGAAGGCCTGTCCGGGGGACGTGCAAAAGAGGGGCTGTTTAATGCCACCTGGGGCTCCTGGCGTGCATGTAATGAAGGAGATGAAGGGGGAGCAGCTCTGGCCAGGACACAACGAGGGCTTTTTTGAGAGACAATGTGCCCACGTGGAAATGATAAAAATAATGATGGGTACCATTTATTAAACACCTGCTATCTGCTCAGCAATGAGCCAAGTGATTTACATATATATTGCTAATCCTCTCACCAAACTAGGTATAATTAGCCCCATTTTACAAACAAGGAACTGAGGCTCAGAGATGAAATAACCAGCCTGAGGTTGCCTGGTCCATCCCCCCATTCTCCCCCACCCCCCTCCCCCACCAGAGGGTTGAGCCCAGTGGATGAGGCTGCGGCTAGGTCCTCAGAACCAAAGACTGATGTGGGCAGGAGGGAGCAATCTGGAAGGAACCCACACTGGCAGGCTCCCCGAGCCAGCTGCTGATACCAGCCCCTGCTTTGCTTTCTAAGGAATTCTGGGTTGGAAGTTGGGGGGATGGGGGGAGGTGCTGGGGAAAGCAAATGACCAAGAGCCAGGAGACCTGGGTGCCACTTCAGGATGTGACACCCTCGGCTAGTCTTTTCTCTCGGTCTCAACTTTCTGATCCATAAAATGGGAGCACACTTTACCTCGCCCGGCCCAGGTCTCAGGTCGTGGTGGGGATCTAATGATAGAAAGCACCTGAAACCACACTGAAGTCTACAGATGGCTGGATAACAACCGGTTCACTGACGGGAGGCCTTCACCTGTGCCGGGCACAGTGAGTGTGTCACACTCATCACCTCACTCTTCTCTAGACCTTATGTGGTTCGGGAAATGAACCACATTTGTGGATGGAGAAGCTGTGTGCAGGGCTGTAACTGTTCTAAGTCGCACAGGAGCAGAGGAAGGGCTGGACACGGGTCCTCTGAGGCCCCTGCCTCTCAACCCTTTGGACGTCAGTGTGGGCGGTCCAGGGGTGGGAAGGGTGGGGCAGCCCTGAGTTCCCTCTAGAAGGTGGGCGTGCAGGGCCTTTGCCCCCTGTATCTGCCCCAGCCCAAGGATGCCCTCCTGACTCCTCTGTATGGACCTTTGACGAGAGCAAATCTGAGAGTCACACCAACTTCCTGGATGGCAGCAAGAAACTGAGCAAAAGGCATCGCTCAGAGAGCTGGGTGGACACGGGGAGTGCATATCCACGGGCATGCGCGTGTGCACACACACAAAGGAATAAGCACTTGTACATGCACACACATATACACACATGCACAAGTACACCTCAACGTATGTACGTGCATACAATTCCACGTACATGTAGATGCATGCGAGTAACAGGTGTGCGCACATACACACCCACGTGCACACACAGAGGGTGCATGCACATACCTGAGCCCACACTCACACTCCTCTCAGGTCTCTTACAAGTTCAAGTTGTCCCCCAGGCCCCCAGGCATTTTCCTTCATCTTTTCTGGGGAAGAGAGTGACCATGTGATTCACCCCCGGGTGCCAAGGGCAAGTGGAGAAGAGGAGGGAAGGAGAGGGCAGAGCAGGGCATGGGTGTGCAGAGGTCAGTGATTTGTGATCTCTGCCAATGGGAGAGGAGTTCAGAACTCTTCTAGACAACCCCCTGTCCTCATCCACGCTCCAACTCACCTGCAGACAGGCCACCCCGATGCCCACCGCCCCCATGAGCAGCAGGTGGTCAGCCAGGAACTGTTCCAGCTTGCTGATGCAACCTCCCTGGAAGATAACTATAGATTACACACGGGCCGGAAGTGGGCGGGGCTGCGGAGGGAGGGGCTGGCACGTGCTGCCTATGCCTGCCCCGCCAAGGGCAAGCAAGAGACTTAAGGGGTCTAGTCCAGCATTTCAACTGCCCACCCAGGGGCAAGCCATGATGTCCCAGAACCTCCCAGCAGCAGCTGCTTGCCCCAGCGCTTCGTGGAGACCACTGAGGGCCCTGTATGGTCTCAGGGCCAATGAGTAGGTATGTTCTGCTCCCCCCCCCCCGCCCCTTTGCCTGAGCCCCCCATTTAGACGGGGGGGGGGGCTCTGCATGCCTCAGGTGGGGCCTGGGTACTCACCTCCACCTTGTAGATGTTGGAGGGATGGGCCCGCTGGCCACAGCGGGCCACCACCGTCTTGCAGCAGCTGTCCGGCACCCGGCGGCCCTCGGCCTCCTGAGACAGGATGTATGCACTGTGCTGCCAGTCGGCGGAGCTGTTACTTCCACAGCACTTGAACTAGAGGGACAGAAGGAGGCTGGAGGTGAAGAGCCCGTCTGGGCGAGGCGGGTGTGGGTGTCCTCCAGCCCCTCCGGCCCCTCTGGGTCAGGGCTGTAGGACTTGTTATTCAAATACTAACTCAAGCACAAATAGGGATTTGTTCTCCCTGGGATGTTTCCCTTTGCCTATTTTGAGCAGGGAGCTCGCCTTTTTGGGGCACTTCTCTCCAGGCAGGTGCAGAAGCTGGCTGCAAGACACCTGCTGGCTACCTTCTATCCATGTGAGGCCTTTAAGGAGATTACGCTGGGCGTCCTGATGGCAGGGAGAGTCTCTGAGAAAATGGATGGGGAGGTATACGGAGGTGAGTCCCTGAGAGAATGGGGCTGTATACCCCGGGGAGAGCCCAACCCACATGGGGCTGTTTTCCTGGTCACCCGGGGAGGCAGGACCCCAGGGACAGGGACCCAGCCTTGCCAGAGGCTCCTGGACCCTCATTCAGACCCTGAAACCTCAGAGCCCAAGCACCTGCAGGGAGGGACACAGAGTGTCCCAGAGCCACAGCGCAGGCAGATTAGTGTTGACCAGAGGGTGGAGTCAGTGCTGGGGAAGACCTGAGTCTTCTATGCCACTCCAGAGCAGGAAAGTGCCAGCCCAGGTCTCCATGATGCAGACACAACAGGACATTGGTTCTCTCTTGCCCTTCTGAGTTGAGGGACTGAGAATCGAAGTCCCCACATGAGCCACACAGCTGTTTTGAGGCTGTCTCTGGTGTGTGGAGGTGCAGGCCGCGTGGGAGGTACGTTCAGTACGTTAACAGGTGTTTGTTAGGCACCTACTATGTACCAGGAGTGAAGCTAGCATTGGGCTCAGACATGAGTAATGTGGCTCCTGGTTTTCTGGAGCTTCTCTGTGACTACAGCTTGGTAGGGAGGACCATGGGAGCTGTGTATAACTCAGAGGAGGAAAGGGCTAGTGGAAAGGTCCCACAAGGAAGAGGAGGAGGCAGGAGGCGGGCAGAAGAGAACAGCACATGGAGCCAGGAACAGCACGGTGTGTGCTCAGTGTCACGTGGGATTATACTGCTGTGTGTCCCTGGACAGGTTATCCAGCCTCTCTGGGCTTCAGTTTCATCATGTGTAAATGGGGCTAATAAAACACCCCCACACTGCGCTGTGTGAAGAGGCAATTCTGTGATGCCCTGAGAAGCGAGCCCTGCAGGGGTGAGCAGTCAGTGACACCCTCTATTGCTATGGTCGCTTTGTGACTACAGGCATGTGGGTGTCATTTACATACTGGGGTGCAGCCCGCAGCCCAGACGCTGGCCTTGGCCTGAAGCCACTGCCTTCTCAGGGCTTACTCATGCCTAAGATGCAGGCCTGGGCCCAAGGTCCCTCATGAACCTCTGGTTCTAACAGTTGCTGGCACGTGTGAGGTCATGGCCACATGCTCAGGTGCCCATGGAGGAGGCCCGGGGCAGTGACAGACACTGGCTCCCTGCTGTGCCCTTCCTCATGCTGTTCCCTACATCTGTCTGTGCCTCCCATCCCCTCGACCTATGCAAACCCAGGCCCTCCTTCCTGTTCCCCCTAGTTGGCCTCCCCAGCCCTGTTCTCCACTCGGAGGGTCCTCCTAGCCTAGCACTGACTGTGTGTGTTGGGTCCCCAAGTAAGGCCCCGAGGGCAGGGACTCAGGCGGGAGGCCCCAAAAACGCAGACTGAGCCTTGGGCTGACGAGCGGAGTAGGTGAGGGCTAAGCGTGTGGGCGTGGGTATGGATGTGTGCACCTATGTGTACTGAGTGCCCTGAGACCCCTCTGCGCAGAGCCTACTGGGAGCTAAGCCAGTCTTGGGGAGATGGGGAAGGTGCCTCCCCAGCTGACCTAAGATGCTAATGTCTGCTCTGCTCACTGGCCTGGTATTCCCGGCAGAAGGACCAAGGCCTCCGGCCGAGGGCGGAGTCTGTAGATACAGGGTGGAGCAAAAACCACAGGCTAAGGGTGAGGGCCGGGTGGGGGCGGGGAGAAGGCGGACCAGAGTGGGCAGGTGGAGCTTCCTCAAATTTTCAGACGTGAGACCATCAGGATCCTGGAGCCACACTGCCCAAGAGAACTTTCTGCAGCGATGGAAATGCTTTGTATCTGTGCTGTGCAATTTGGCGGCACTACCCATCTGTGGCTTTTGGGCCCTGGAATGTGGCCAGTGACTGAGGAACTGCATTTCATATTAAACTTAAATAGCTGCACATGGCTAGTGGCTACCATACTGCACAGCGCAGGTCTGGGGTCCATTTGTCCCTGCCCTACTTCTGGCAGGACCACGGGCCTCATTGAAGGGGTCTGCTGAGCCTCTTCTTGGAAAGGAAGAGACCACCTTTCTGTCCGCCAGCGCTCTGCTCCACGGCTCCCAGCTGGGAAGCTGTCGCAGGGGTCTGGCTGAAAGAGTTCTGCCTGTTACAGTTCGCCTGTAGGGATCTCAGCTGTCAGCCCCCAGAGGAGGGAGCAGACAGCCCCGCTGATGGAAGGAGCCCAGATCCCGGCCAGGAGAGGAGTCCACCTGATACCGTCAGCCTCCTGCCCACAGGGGCCCACGGGTGGGGCCTGGAGGAGGCAGTCAAGGGGGCCGTGGTGGGGCCAGGGCACAGGATGGTAGGAAGGCAAGGGCCAGATTCAACTCGCATTTTTCATGGTAGTGGGGACTTCTGCATACGTCATGGTACTGAATGATCAACGCGCCCAATGAGGCTTCGTTTTGGAGGCAATTGAAGCTCAGAGAAGGTAAGTAACCTGTCCAGGGTCACGCAGACAGGAAGGGACAGAGTTGGAATTTGAACCCACGTCTGCATGCCCCCGGGGCAGGTGCTTACATCCTGCTGGAGACGGTCTACTGAGGTCGTGATGTCCGTGGCTCCGGGCTGCCTGTAGTTCTCCGCCAGCGTCCGGGCCAAGTGCTGTTTCAGTTCATCACTGAGCTGCAGAGAGTGGAAAGGGAAGGTGGCCTCAGCAGAACCACTCCACCTGGTCTCGTCCTCCAAACCCACTCCCACGCCAGGCCCGCTAAGCTGGAGCACCACGGACTCTGAATGGCGCGAGGGAGGGGGTTTCCCGGCGTCGTGGGAGTGTTGTAGGAGACTGCGCAGAACACGGATTTCACGAAGAGATGTAAAAGCCGGGGCCCTGACCTAAAGCCACACAGGTGACGGACAGAGCTGAGAGGCAGGCTGGGGAGGGGGTGGCTCAAAGCTTGTGGGAGCGCAATGAGGCTGGGCACAGGGGTGCTTTTAAATACCCTTTTTTCACTTTGATTAGGAGGTGACATTGAAAATATTTACAATTGTTAATCAGTGGGCACCCATCAGTTGTACGGTGCTGCCTTAAAACAACCAGGGCAGGCATCTGTCTCACCCTGGCCATGACCTCGCACCTCTGGTTCACAGCACCCGGTGGGAGGCGACCTGCCTGGCTACTTCCTCCTTGTCTGCTGCAGGCAGGCGAGGCCTGGTGTGTCTTCCTAGCCCAGCAGGTAGCCCCGGCCCCTGCCTCTCTCCTTGGATGCCCACCTGCTAGATTCATCCTCTGTCTCTGCTTAGGAGGGGAGAGACACCACCCCATCTCCCATGGGGCATTCCCACTCTCCAGCCCCCAGGCCGATTAAGTCTGCAACAGACAGGGCAGAGAATTGCCAGAAGCTGGACAGGAAGTAGGGCCCAGGTGTGCTGAGGATTGTTGGGGTCGGGGACATGAGACCGCCCTGTGGGTCACTGCCTCAGCTCCCCCATGCCTCTGCACCCCGCCTCACGCTGTTGCCTTCAGGGGGTGACCACGGGGAACACAGAAGCGGGATCTACTCACCCTCTGGTAGTACATGTGCGCCAGGACCCCCGCCACCAGCTCCACGAGGAAGATCACCAGCAACAGGCAGAAGTACTAGGAGCGAGGAGGAAGGTGCTCACCACTGGGGTCAGGCCGGGCAGGCGCATGGTGCTCCAGGACTAAAGTCTTCCCAAAGCAGGAGGGGAGGTGGGGCGATCTGCCGGGGACCCCATCACCCACCCGTACCGTCTGCCTCCTCTTCCCGGCAGCTCTGGGCATGCTCGCCTCTCCCAGCTGCTGGCATGGAGTTCCCCACTCACCCCGTCACCCACTGGGCCCCTGTCAGCGCATTAATCCATGTGCCCATTATTAAATACCTACTACATGCCAGGTATCATAAGTAAGATGGTTACTGCCCTCAGAGTTATTGGTGGTGGGGACATAGATAAGTGAGTGATTACAGTGTTGTGTACAAATATTTCTGCATGGCAAGCACTAGGTAGGGGGAAGACAGAGAAGGCTTCCTGGAGTAGGGGACGCCTGAGTGGGACCTCGAAAGATGAGCTGCCAGGTGAAGACGGCAAGAAGCATGTTCCAGGCAGAGGGGAGAGCTCTGCAAAGCCTGAAGAGTGCAGACGGTGCGGGACATCCAAGTTCTGGGAGTGGAGTGAGCAGAAGGGGCTGGTGGTGTAGGGGTGCCTGGGCAGAGACCAAGGCTCAGGCAATAGCAAAGGCAGTGCCCTGTGAAAGGCATCTGTGTTTTCCAGGCCTTCACGGCCCTGCAGGGGGTTCTAAATTCCTGCCACCACTACTGCCTGGCCTCCCTAGACTCAGGGCCGTTCTGCACACTTCACAGCCTGCTGGCTAGGTTCCCGGCTGTGCTCTCTCGGCTGCGACCTCCCACCCGGTTTTAGTCTGGAGGCTCCTGGACACTGCTCCATCCTGGCGTCTTCTTGTGGGGGCCCATAGGTCAGAAGTGCATGTCAGACCCACATGGCCAGGAGGGCACAGGGAGGGGGAGAGGAAGCAGGCTCTAGGCAGGGAAGAGGGACAGAGGGAGAGGGGAGAAGAGGCAGAGCAGTGGGGTGCTGCTGCCTGAAATCAGCCCCCTCTAGAGAAGCCCAGCCCCTCCCTATGAGCAATGGTTGGTGCTGCCTCCCCACCTCCCCACCCCCTGCCATCCCTCTTGCTACCCCAGGTACGGCCCATCCACCTGGCTGTGGTCGTTCGGATCACTGGATTCCAGGGGATGCTCAGCCTTTGCCTGAGCTCTGAAACTCCGGGCTCATCAGCAGGGGAAGGGATGCAGCAGGAGGGCATGGGAATGGAAGAAGACAGGTGCAGGGCAAGGGGACATTGGGCCAGTCAGAGGCGATGTGTCCCTGAGGCCTTGCCTGACTACCTCCCAGAGCCTAGCACGGGGCCTGCAAAGGGCAAGACATAAGAAACACAGGCGGAGGAGAAGATATTCCTTTTCACGAAGAACATTCCATCCAGGGGCAAGGCTTCCTTTGGAGTTACATAAACTGTGCACCTACCCCACAGCCATCTTACTAAGCCCACGGTCTGCCAGGCTCAGAGCTGCCCACCGTCAGGAATGAGGGGAGCTTTCGTCTCTCAATAATGGTGGCAGGGCTGCCCTTATTCTCTGTGGGGCCTAAGATAAGAGGACAAATGGAAGTTTCTGGTTTGCCCTTCCCCTTCCCCACCTACCCAGGCTCAATGCCATACAAGGAAAGGCCTCCGGCCTGCAGGTCCAAGCTCAGCTCATCCCCTGCCAGGACCAGGAGCCCCCCCGGCCGTCCCTGGATGAGGATGCACAGATGGCTGGGTGTGGTGGCGTCCACGTGGGGGACACAGCAGCCTTGTCGCCTGTGCAGGCTCTGAATGGAGACTCAGTCTGTCTGCCAGCTCCTGGGCACCCAGGATGAGGTCTGGAAGTGGGGAAGGGAGTCACAGGTCCCAGGATGGCACATTCCCTGGGCCCCGTTGACGTTTTATGCCGTGGGGAGGGGTTTGGATGGAGGGCTCCGTGCACCCAGGATGAGGGAAGGTGTGTGATGGTATCCAGGTGAGCTGAGGCAGAAGGCAGGCAATAGGTCTGTGGGTGGGCCCTCTGCTTGCTCTGCCTCTGAGACACAGGGCCTGGAAACCTGAAGATCAGTGGCGGATATCAACTGACTCAGGTTTGAGTCAGGCTCTGCCACTTCCAGGCTCTGGACAGGGAGCCACAGGTGCCTGGTGTGACTTACAAAAACTATGCTCCAATGAGAAAATGTGGTTGAACTTGAGCTTCCTTGGGCCCTGCACAGGACACAGCGTCCAGGGCCATATGCAGTGGCTGTGCCTCTGGGCCTGAGCCCGTGGGTGGGCGTAATGGCATCAGAGCAGTCCTGCCCCTCCTGAGGGGCTGAAAGGACCCAAAGGGAGGGGATTACGCTTCACGGTGGTCTGAGCTACTTCCTGCTCCCAGAGCCTGTGTGTGACAGCAAGAGGTGAGCCAGACTTGTCAGCCAGCAGCAGGTGAGGCGGCCTGAGCCAGTCCCTCTGACAGCCCATGGCAGCTTTGCGGACATCCTGACTCGGCCGCCCTTCCTGCTCACTCCAAACTGACCCCGGTACCCTGAGGCTGGCTCTCCTCCTGCCACATAGGACCCTGCATGCAATGACTGCCGGCTGGTTGCTCCCAGGCTCCCTGGTGCACCACAGGCCTTCTATGGTGTGATAGGAGGACATGACGGAGCCTGTGACTGAATAGGATGCGTAACCCACCGGCTGGGAGGGCGGCACCTCGGTGTCCTGGCACCTTCCCTCTGTGGGTGCGGGAGAGGCTCCTCTCCCGATTGCCGATCGCCGATCACCAGGGGCTGTCAGCCGCGAGTCACGCTGGCTCGTAATCATGAAGACTTGCCAGTATCATGCTGCTCCCCGGGGATGTCACTGCCACCGTTGCTATTGACACTGGGCTGGGAGGAGGGTGGATGGGAAGGGACAGAAACTGCTCCACATCCCCGATGTAATGGCAGCCTGAATGAGTACATGCCAGCCCCTCAAAACTGTTTGGAGGCATCCGACAGGCTTCCCAGCCTGACTGAGTTGTCAGGAGCGGGGAGAGCGCTGCCTACCACCCAGGGTCTCCAGCTGTTCCCAAGAGGCCCCTGGGAGGGAAGTCAGGACAGGTGGGGATGTTCGGGGGACTGAGGGAGGGGTGCCAAGGAGTGGACCAGCTGAGTGCTCGGGGGCATGGGCGCAGCAGCTTCAGTGACGGGAGGGCCGCAGGTGAGGTGACTCACCTGGGCGGGGGGCGGCCCTGAACCACAGCTCCCGTGCAATAGCCCCCCAGGGAAAGTGGGTAAAGGCCGCACTCGCTGGGATCCCCCTGCACCAAGGGACCTGGCAGCCCTGCCTCTGGGCAGTGGGGCCAGGCTGGTGGGAGCTGTCACGTGACACACGCGCCTCACCTCTACCGCTCCACCTTTCTCTTTACCAAGCCTTCCTGATGTCTCCCCGGACTCCTATGGCAGTCTGCAAAGCACTCCTGTTCTGTCCACGGCTCCCCAAGCCTTCCGGCCTCCATGTATTTGCCCGCAGCGTCCCCTGCCTGGAACTCCAGCACCTGCCTGTCTTTCCAACCACCAGCTCGGTCATGGCCTCCCATCGAGGGCCAGCAGCGGGCGCTAAGCCGCCCAGCCCAAGTGCCCACGGTGGTCCATCTGCCTCCGTCTTCCCACACAACCGGCGCCGCTCCTTCTCCTTGACTAGACTCAGAGCTGCCCGCGTCCTCCCCGCTGTGTGCCACACTGTTCCTCACGGGCTGGCTGAGTGACATACCTGTACCCACTGCTCTGCAGAGGTTGTCCTGGCCTCAGATGTTGTCGGTCTCCCCAGAATGACTGTGAGTTTCTGGGGAACAGGGACCCCATCTCAGGTTCCTCTGGCTCTTCCTCAGTGCCTGGCACAGTGTTGGGTCTCGACGCATGCTCGGTGAACACCCCAGATTAAGATCTGTGAGTGGACATCTTAACAAGCAGGCTGGGGATGAAGGGAACTGGCTGGAGCTGGCAGCACCAGGCTTGGGGACAAGGGCTTCATCTTTTTCTGATGCGTGGGTGGCATGGAATTATTACTGCAGTTTAATTTATACCACTGGCTCCCAATCTAGCACAATTGGGGGACATTTGGTAATGTCTGGAGACTTTTTTTTAATTGTCACAACTGGGGTAAGGAATGCAACTGGCATCTAGTGGGTAGAGGCCAAGACAGGCCACCTGGCAAAGGATGATCTGGGCTAGCACTGGATGTTATATGGAAACCAACTTGACAATAAACTATAAATAAATAAATAAATAAATAAATAAATAAAATGTCACTAGTGCCAAGGCTGAGAAACTGATTTGCTGGGACCTGATTTGCATAGGATTTCCCCTATGCACTATGGGAGACATGAAAGGGAAGATCTGAGGAAGGCTGTCTAGTCCCTGAGAAGCCTGAAACTGAACACAGACAGAACACGCAGGCGGTTACTCTGTACCTGCCTCTGAGGGGACTTTGTGGCAGGAAACTGCTCACCCTGACTCTAGGGGGGAATCAGTGAAGCCTACAGTGCTTGGGACCAGCAGCTATGATGGGGGAGGCTACGGCCTCAGGTACATCCTGTGATAGTCAGTGACTTTCTTGGTAACATTCTGTTTCCTGAACTCTGGGCTGAGGCGGGGTATGCTGCTATTACCTATAGGAAACATGAAAACTGTCCTACTTGAATAGAAAGCCAGGATTTTCCGGGCCCCGTGCTATTTTGCTTGTGAGTCTTGGTCTATGGCTGAGGAGTCATGAAGAGGTATGCCTGCCTTGCTTCTCAAGAGCAGCAAAAATGTACTGTTTCTATAGTGGGAGCACTGGAAAAGTGTCCCTTCCATAAAGAGGGGCTGGCAGGGGGGCCGGTGAGGAGAGCAATTAACCCCTTTTTTGGCAGAATCAGTGCCTCATTCACCAGAGTGGCCCAAAGTGCACAGGGTGGGTGCTCCGTGACCGTAATGGCCAAGGTGTGCCAGCTCTACCCAGGTGCCAGCCCCTCTGGTGAGCACATCTCATGAGAGCTCCAACCCCCTCGGAGA